TTCATGGATTGGATTCATCATCCTCCTAACGAAATCATTATCATTCAATCAGTTGTTTCATTCTATGGGATCTGTGACAACACTGCAACCAACTCACATTGATCTTATGTCATATCTGTGATGGGTGAATTTGCTGGAATCTGTGACTATTGGTTAAAATTATATACTGTTCTGCATTATTTGTGTGTAAATTCTCTAAAATTGGCCTAACATGTGCTCAAAATTTTTTTAAAAAAAGTGAAATATTCAGGCAAAATCTGGGGCCTAGAGTTTTGTTTAACACTACTGTTGCAATGGGTGTAATCGAGGAAGCAAAGTGCTTATCAGTTGGGAGACCTGTTTCGCCGCATTAAAATCCATATTTGAACTCTGCACATTGAAGGTTAGTTCATTTCAGAACTTCGTTTGAAATACTACCTTGTAGCCTTCATTTGGGATGTGAGCTTGGGGTTAAAAAGTCTCATTTGTGATGTGTCTTTTTTAGTTTTTTTATTTTTGTGAGAGAAAAGATGAAATGATTATGATTTGAATGTGACATTTTGTCTTATTGGCTTTTTAGCCTATTTTATCTTTTTATGGTTTGAAATACTATTTTTTGTTTATTCCTAACTAAGTTGTTTTCATTAAGTAATGGGTTTATCCTTGTTTACACACTATTTTTTTTTAAAAAAAAAAAAATTAAATATTATACATGTTATGAACATGGGTAAGGGTCCAAAAAGACAGTCCATGCGAAAAAAGAAAAAAGGTGGCAAATATATATTTTTTAATTTTTATAAATAATAATTATAATGATACTTTATATATATTTGCTTTTATTTTATGGAAATGTAGCCAGCTGCTTTAATGTTTGTGATTTATTGTTTATTTAGAAAACATTATTTAGAATGAAAATCAAGTAGCATAATATGTTGTCATATTAGTAGTGATACAAAATCGTTTTAGATTATAAAAAAAAAATAAGCATATATAGCATTAATTTCCATAGTGAGTAATTTTATTTGGGCGTCCTTAATATTTTTTGGGGTGTAAATAGAATCCCCCACTTTAATACGAGCTTCGATCAAGAATGGAAGCAGATCAAAACTTCGATCTTTCCCCCAATTTTGCTTCCCTATTTGATACGGGCTTTAATACGTTGTTTGACGAGACTTAGAGACTATAAGTATGGGGTTTGTTCCATCGCTGAAATCACAGAACCACACCCAGCCTCACACAAATGGATGCTGGAAAGTTCGCTCGTGGGGTGGGAGGGCTGGTCGTCCCGCCTGGGCGGGTTACTGACCGGTCAACCACAATGATCGACCCAGCGGAAGCTTCGCGAAAGCGCCGGAGGGCGGACATCAACGATCGCCCCACGAAGAAGAGGAGGATCGATCGCGCTGGTAGATCCGTTGACGTTGTTTTGGGTGAATAGATCATTCGTGGAGTTCATCTTCCTAGTCCTTTTTTGTATATAAATAATGTGGTCTGTTTCAAATTTTATATATAAATAAAGTGGTATTTTTTTTTTTTGGAATTGTCTGGTTTTGCTCCATTGAACTTTCTTATGCGGTCTGTGGAGCAAAAAATGGCAGTGCAAACGGATATTGAAGCCAATCAGTATACATTGAAGTCAACTTTCCGATGCGGTCTGTGGAACAAAGAATAGCAGTGCAATCGGATATTGAGGCCAATCAGTATACATTGAAGTCATGTGTGGAGACCATAACTGCGGTCACAAACTTGTCGCACCGGCTGCAGAGTAGGACAAATGAGGTGCAATAGTTAAACGCCCAACTGGCTCTGCTCCAGCGCATATATAAGGATGCGCGAGCAGAGATAAGTGTGCTAATGGCGGAAAATAAGGAGCTGTAGCGGAAGGCCACCGTGATGTTCCGATTTGGAGGTCCGCCATATGCTGCAGTGAAGGAGCAGGGGGGAGTGAACGTGCTCGGTGGCGTGGGAAACACGGAGGCAACACCGTCAAGGGCCGTCCAGAACGGAGGCAAGAAGAAAAGACCGGCGGAAGAGGCGAAGAAGTGAGGTCGGTGGGTGGCCGTCTGCAGAAAAGAAAACAAACTTTTGTTTGGGGGTGTTGGATTTGTTTTGTTGTGTTTTTGTGTTTGTTTGTTTGTTTTTTTTTTTTTTTTTGGTTTTGGGGGAATGAAATAAAAAAAAATTTTGATTTTTTATTTTTGTGAGAGAAAAGATGAAATGATTATGATTTGAATGTGACATTTTGTCTTATTGGCTTTTTAGCCTATTTTATCTTTTTATGGTTTGAAATACTATTTTTTGTTTATTCCTAACTAAGTTGTTTTCATTAAGTAATGGGTTTATCCTTGTTTACACACTATTTTTTTTTTTAAAAAAAAAAATTAAATATTATACATGTTATGAACATGTGTAAGGGTCCAAAAAGACAGTCCATGCAAAAAAAGAAAAAAGATGGCAAATATATATTTTTTAATTTTTATAAATAATAATTATAATGATACTTTATATATATTTGCTTTTATTTTATGGAAATGTAGCCAGCTGCTTTAATGTTTGTGATTTATTGTTTATTTAGAAAACATTATTTAGAATGAAAATCAAGTAGCATAATATGTTGTCATATTAGTAGTGATACAAAATCGTTTTAGATTATAAAAAAAAAATAAGCATATATAGCATTAATTTCCATAGTGAGTAATTTTATTTGGGCGTCCTTAATATTTTTTGGGGTGTAAATAGAATCCCCCACTTTAATACGAGCTTCGATCAAGAATGGAAGCAGATCAAAACTTCGATCTTTCCCCCAATTTTGCTTCCCTATTTGATACGGGCTTTAATACGTTGTTTGACGAGACTTAGAGACTATAAGTATGGGGTTTGTTCCATCGCTGAAATCACAGAACCACACCCAGCCTCACACAAATGGATGCTGGAAAGTTCGCTCATGGGGTGGGAGGGCGGGTCGTCCCGCCTGGGCGGGTTACTGACCGGTCAGCCACAATGATCGACCCGGCGGAAGCTTCGCGAAAGCGCCGGAGGGCGGAGGTGGACATCAACGATCGCCCCACGAAGAAGAGGAGGATCGATCGCGCTGGTAGATCCGTTGACGTTGTTTTGGGTGAATAGATCATCCGTGGAGTTCATATTTATATACAAAAAAGGACTAGGAAGATGAACTCCACGGATGATCTATTCACCCAAAACAACGTCAAAGGATCTACCAGCGCGATCGATCCTCCTCTTCTTCGTGGGGCGATCGTTGATGTCCACCTCCGCCCTCCGGCGCTTTCGCGAAGCTTCCGCCGGGTCGATCATTGTGGCTGACCGGTCAGTAACCCGCCCAGGCGGGACGACCAGCCCTCCCACCCCACGAGCGAACTTTCCAGCATCCATTTGTGTGAGGCTGGGTGTGGTTCTGTGATTTCAGCGATGGAACAAACCCCATACTTATAGTCTCTAAGTCTCGTCAAACAACGTATTAAAGCCCGTATCAAATAGGGAAGCAAAATTGGGGGAAAGATCGAAGTTTTGATCTGCTTCCATTCTTGATCGAAGCTCGTATTAAAGTAGGGGATTCTATTTACACCCCAAAAAATATTAAGGACGCCCAAATAAAATTACTCACTATGGAAATTAATGCTATATATGCTTATTTTTTTTTTTTTAATCTAAAACGATTTTGTATCACTACTAATTGTTAAAATTGATGTATTATTGATTGTTGTATCTTGTTATGTTTACAATGAGTCCTATATATAGAAGATTAGAGGAGGTAGGTATGTAGTAGGTGGAGTAGTAGGTGAAGTGGGTGGAGTAGGTGTAGTGGTAGGTTTTGGTAGGTTTTAACACTTATCGCCTCAGTGTGCCTAGAGCTTTTTAAAACACTGCATACTAGTATATTGGTCCATTCTAAATTTATGACACATGAAATTATTAATAGTTGAAAGAAAATTATGTAAAATTTTCTTCATAACAACTTAGACTAGTATAAAATTAGTGCATACGTTGGACTGTGCTTAAACAAAATAATAATAATAATAAAAAAATCCCACCATAAGTCATTTCAAACAACTTTTTAGGGTCAATTCTTGCTGTTATTATTCTTATAGAAGTTACTTTTTACTCATACTTTACGCACTTTCATATTGGCAATGCATCATTGCAGGAGTTTGGATTCTTTCCATAACTTTGAACAGGAATTAGAAAATTACCAAGGAATTGCAGTGTGATTGCTTCAGTTTTTTTTCTTTTTTCATTCATGGTCTAGGGAGCCTCGTCTTCTCTCTAACATCATCAGAGTTGTTGTTCCCTTCTGGAGTATGTGGTACCCACCATAGTATCTTGTGATGGAGTTTTACTTGGATGGTTTCCATTGAACTCCATGAATCTAATTCCATTTCATTTATATAAAATTTGGGTTTTGTAATAGCTAAGGGTATTTTGATGATTTTGCGTGGTGGGTGTTCTGTAGTATTTGTTTTGTTTGTCGGGCATCCTGTTTGGTGCTTTGTTATGGGTTGTGTCCATTTCTCGGGTAGAACTAGTTTTGACTTTTGAGTCTGTTAGTTCACAAATTCTTTGTTCACCAGATTTTTCCAAATTTAGAAAGTTTTGACATCCTGTAATATGCTCATCTATATGCCTCTTTTTTCTTTTTCTTTTTTTCTCTCTCTTTTTGTCTGCCCGTCTTTGCGGAGTAGATTCTTAGGATGCCTTAGTGAGATTCTAAAGTTATCTTCTTTCTTCTACATTTTTTTTCTTGTTGAAATTTTATCATTCTGGTGCATATACTTGATAAACACAACCAGTCCTGGAATAAGTCTTAAGAGAGTTTTATTATGATGCTTCTTTATGTGCATTCTTCATGCAACTCTCCTATCAGTAGAATAACTGGTTCATGCACGGACAAAGCTTAGGTAATGGATTAGAAAGTAAAACTTTGAGATTATGCCTGGTTTTTTTTATGTAACTTTAGCTACCATTAATCTGTTTTATGACTATGCTGTTAACTTGTCCTGCAGTTGTGCAATGGACTATACATGGGGTCTTCTCCATTAAAACCGGCAATTCGCAGAAATACAGTAGACTGTAAGTATACATCATTTTGGGCATATAAATTTGCTTTGATTTGACCCATGTACAATGTGGTTATTAATCTTCTAGATTTAATTTATTAGTGAACAATAAGTTTCTGCAACTCATGGTGATATCTAGAGGTATGGTATGATGTTGCACAAAAGATTATACATGAAGTTTGTTTTTTTTTTTTTGGGCACATATAATGTTGAAAAACCAGCCAATTGGCCATTCATTCATTTCTCCACTTTCTAATGAAACTAACCTCAGTTCCCTTAGCCTTTGTTGCTTTGTTTTGGTGTTTTTCAAGGAGTGGATAGGGAAATAAAAGAAAGGAAGGACTTTGATAAAGTTTTTAGGAACAATTTTTTTTTTTTGACGAATTACACTAACGGTTCCTATAGTTTGGGACTTGTCTCACTTTAGTCATTGACCTTTCAATTGTGATACATTTGATCTTAAATTTTGAATTTCGTTCCAAATAAGGACAATTAAAGACACTATTACTCCATTTCAAGGGCAAAGTCGTCAATTTGATAAATATAAACTAATTTGACAAAAACAAATGCCAAAAAATTATTGTTGAATTTTTAAAAATTATTTCAATCTACCAAATATAAAATTATATAAAAATGATAAATCTTTTACATTTTTATTTTTTAAATTTTTTTTATCAAATTAATTTTTAGCATGTGTTTGGATGATGATCATGTAATGGGTGGTTGTTTTTGTTGATGTTTTTGGATGGTTATAATGTAATACATGATTGTATTTGTTTTTAATAGATATTTTTTTATGGTTGTCATGTAATGGATAGTTATTAGGCTTTTATTGTGTAATCGTTATATTTAATATATGATTTAGTTTTGGATTTTTTGATTTAATGGATTGGTTTAATAATGACATCAAAGTTGTCACCATGTTTGACTTTTGAAAAAATTGAAACTAATTTAACAAATATATATATATATATATATATTTCTACCCTCTCAAAAGATAAAATTATATAACAATGATGTGTTTTTACTTTTTTTCACCAATTTAATTTTTAGTTTCTTAGAAACTTTTTCTAAAAATAGATTCTAAAAACCAAATCAAACAGAACTTTATAATAATAAAAAAAAAGTTTCAGCATTATTCATTACAAAAAAGCTATTACACTTCAAACAACATACAAGTTAACCAATACAAAATAAGTTGTATGATGATTTTGCCCTTGAAATGGACCATTTACAAAGGAAACATCTTTGATTGTCCTTATTTGGAGTAAGATTCAAAATTCAAGGTCAAATGTATCATAATTGAAAAGTCAGGGATTAAAGTGACACAAACTCCAAACTACAGGGACTGTTAGTATAATTCACTCTTTTTTTTTTTTTTTTTTTTTTAAAGAAAAAAAAAAAAAAGGAGAGAAGAGTAATTTTTTTTTTTTTTTTGGCTCATGGTTCTCAAACTTTCTGGAGAAATGAGATATAAAAGAATCTTTTTTCAATAAAAACTTTTATGCTCTTGTTTTTTCTGTCAAGAATACTTAAATGACCAAAAACACCATATTCTCAATTTTTTTGTAGAATTGATTTTTGAAAACTAAACCAAACAGGCCCAAAGAAACTGATAATAGACATAAGAAAATTATGATAATTATTGCTTGCAGTTGAACTGTCGGAGGTTGAGTAGTGGATAGCTTCTAGGTTTAGAGAGTTAATGGGTAGAGAAAGAGATTATAGGCTTTGGAAATTGGGAAACAGAGGGAATTGTCTTGTTCTTTGAAGAAAATGGTTACCTATCTTACATGGACTCATGTGCGGTGGTTGGATGCGAGTATGTTGTTTAAGTGTTAGATTCATCTATTTGTTAAATACTTCTTATATTTTTTTCTAACATAAAATGACCTTTACAAACTAAAATATAGAATTATATATAAAATGAAAGTCTTATGCTTAGTTATATAATAATTCGATTACTTATATATACTTGGTGGGTGCATGTCCAACTAGGCATAGTAGACATATCCCATAATCTTACCCAAGTTTCAAGTGTCAGACACAGTTACTCACAAATTTAGAAGAATCTATAGAGATGGTTGCTGGATTTTCATAATAAACTGTGTTGAAATCTATAAAGCACAAACACCTCTCCGGAGGCAGCGTCTAGGTGTCCGACACGTGTCGGACACAAGGTGGACACGTGTTGGACACTCTACCTAACGTGTCCTCCTTCTTTTGAATTTCTCCAACCGTACACGCTTGGGACAATCTTGGACACGTTATGGACACGTTGGAGAGAGAGAGAGTGAGTGAAGAAGAACCTGTTGAAGCCCTAGATCGAGGTATGTTCTTTTTTGCATTTTTCTTCTTCGTCTTGCTTCTTCTTTATTTGTTTTTGTTCATTGCTCTCTCTGTATGTCTGTGTTCTCTCTCTGTTTGACTGTTTCTTTGGTTCGACTCACACTCCTCTTTCTTTTTTCTCTATATTCGACTCTCTCTCGCTCTCGCTCTCACTCTCACTCTTGCTGTCTCTCTCTCTCTCTCTCCCCCCGTTTCCCGTTTCTTTTTTTTTTATACCTTTTTTTTTCTTGAACAAAACCTTTTTTCCTCTCTTTTTCTTTTTTTTTCTTTTTTTCTAAATATTTTTGATGAATCTGAACATAAATAGAATGAATTATTTTTATTTGTAAAAAAATTAATTTGTGAATGATATTTATTTTTAAAGTAATAAAATAAATACATAAATAAATAATATTTATTTTAATTTTACATGTAATAAATAAATAAAATTATATATATTGAGCATCTCCCCCGCGTGTCGTGTCCCTCATTTTTTGAAAATTTGTGTGTCCGCGTGTCCATGTCATGTCCCATGTCCATGTCTGTGCATCATTGGCTTCCTGAAGATTCCAAATTTAGGGAACAGAAATGTGAACTATTTTTCTTTATTTTTATTTATATTTTGAATAAATTTATCAAAGGGTAGAGGCATCTGTATGTGCGTGAATTCATCAATCACTTCCTTGTTACTTCCTTGCTTCTCATTTCACATTTGCTTGCATTTTCTAATGCTTACTTTTGGAAGATTACCTAATACACTCTCACTCCTACCCAGGGGTTCTAGCCTGGTTTGCTAGCTCTTTGGCCATCAAGTCTCTCTTAAGGGGGAGGTCTTGGTTTCCACTTTTAGGAGTGGAATGGGGGGCAAGATTTTCTTGCAAGGTTACGGGTGTGAGTTTCAACTCCCCTGAGGTGCTAACCTAACAACTAACTATTAACTTTCGCCGACCAAAAAAAAAAAAAAAGAAAAAGAAAGAAGAAAAAGGAGGAATAGGAGAAGAAGAATCTAAAAACCCCAAGGCTGCATTACACATCATATAAATCATTTAAAGGTTTGCATAAATTCTCAAAAATCAGCTCCATTGAATGCAAAAGTTGTTACATGTACTTTTGGGCTCTTGAACTACTCTTGGTTGTACAAGCACTTAGACTGAAATGAAAAATTAAGAAGCTTTGATTGGGTAAATCTTATTTGCACAGAGAGGGCGGGGGGAGTGAAACACATAGGTTGGCAACTTCGAAGAGAGTGTTAATATATTTTTACATAATATATATTGCAAGAATTATTTTATTTGTTTAGTTGTAATATATATACATATATACATATATATATATATACATTAAAATGTTTACATTCCATTACCACTGAAAATGTTAAACAAAAAAAACAGGGCTACCCGGTACATGATGTTCCCGCTAAAGCTTGGTTGGGAGAGGGAAAGATGTACACAACTGTTCCTATTTTTTGAGAGATTGATTTCGTGACTTAAACCCACACCACTAGGACGCTTACGAGAAGACTTTATCATTGGGACAAACCACCCTTTCAAAAGTAAATTCTCATTGCAAAAGTAACTTATATTTTACTCCTTAATCGTCGCATAATCCATATTGAAAGATCCATCAAAAAATTTCATCCTTGTTCATCCTTGAATTCCCAAGAGAGAACCAAAATCCAGGATAAATAGTTGTTTCTACTTATTTTCTTTGAATACTGCTACAATGACCATGTTCATATATCACATTATGTTTACCATCTTATTTGTCATAATTGCATTAGTTGAGTGGGTCCTACCACTCATGTTTGTTACCAATACAATGATGACACATCACATGGTAAATTAATTGTGGTATATAAATATGGTTATTGTAGCATTACTAACTTTCTTTTGTCATGGTAATTTTTTTTTCTTGGGGATTTATATGCTTGAGAGTGGTGTCATTCCATTTGGAATCACGATTTTATCTTGATGGGAATGCGGTTCTAACTTGATCGTTACTCTGAACCATGACGATGATGATGGACATGTGTGTGCCATGGTGACGAGGGCAACATCGGTGGCGCTGGTGGCTCTATGTGATGGCAATGGAGTTGGTGATTGTGTGATGGTGACAAGGATGAAGCAGACCCAAATTCAAAGAAGATCACCCTAATCAATTGGGTGCTCTGGGCGATTGTTGTGGCAATTTTGCTTTTGCTTTTGCTTTTGCTTTTGCTTTGTATTGTTTTAATTTTGTCGTATATTGTTTTGTTTTTGCTTTGTGTTGTTTTGGTTTGGTTTGATGTAGTAGTTATGTTTGTGAGCGAATCATCATATTGTCATATTTTCCTTAATGTTTGTAGTGTATTTTAGGTTTTGCATGTCTTCATGGTCCGTTCAATGTCACATCACATTTTTCCACCGTTTCTAAATTAAAACTTTAGGCTTCTATCCATGCATTTGTATGTCTTTAAAATTAATGATTTGCATTCAATTCATAATTTGGTTGAGATTTTTGTCAAATATTACGATGCTTATGCAAGTAGACAGTACCTAACCTTATGGCAACAAATGCCAATGCCCACCAAAAAGTTCCCTTTAAACTGAAAAAAAAAAAAAAAAAAACTTTCAAAATGGGATCTTAGAATTTTCAAACATGAATTGGAAAGTTGCTGTGGAATTCTAGCATTTTCTTTCGCAAGCTAATGTTTACAGCTGTAGCTTTCTAAGAGTAACGTAGTTTGTGTTGTGTCCATTTGCAAAGTTCTCTTAATTGTTACATTTCTTCTTGCAAGTTCGCAAGTCAATCTTAAAGAATATGCAATAGTGCATATTCCCACCTTAACGCATTTAATGAACTACGTTCCCATGTGTATCTTAAATCCAGTGGCTATTTGGTAAATGATAGACCACATAAAATTGTTTGAGGAATATAGGTTGTCGTCACACCTTATATATGTTAAATTAGTTGTGCTTTCATCATTTCTTTCTATCAAGTTCCAAAATTTATTTGGTTGTGGAGTAAAAATGGATTTCTTTTAATCTATTTAATTTGCTTGTTTTCTCCTGCAGATGTTCCAGATAGCATTTTATTTAGTCCAAGGAACTACTCAAATGCAACTTGGTGCTCTTTTATCCCAAAGTTTGCTAGGCTATATCATGATAATAAATTTCATAACCAGGATAACTTGTCAAGATACATAGTTGCAAGATCCGAGCTTGTTGGAACTGGCACTCCTGATGCTTCTTATCCATTTTCAGGTTCCTCGCAAAAGACCTTCAGCCACTTCTCTGTTTTAATCACAACCTTCAAATTCTTATGTATATATATATATATTTTTTTTTTCTTTACATGCAGCACCTCATTCAGGTTCAAAAATTAGAGGAATTTGCTTTTATGCTGTTACTTCTGTTGCTGCCGTTTTTCTGTTTGTACTGATGCTGGTAGCACATCCTTTCATACTCTTGATGGATCGATACCGTAGAAAAGCTCATTATCTTATTGCCAAAATTTGGGCGCTAGCAACTGTCACTCCGTTTATTGAGTTTGAGTATGAGGGATTGGAAAATTTGCCTGTGCCAGATACCCCTGCTGTATATGTGTCCAACCACCAGAGCTTTTTAGACATATATACTCTTTTGACTCTTGGGAGAAGCTTCAAGTTCATTAGCAAGACTTCAATTTTTTATTATCCTGTAATTGGGTGGGCTATGTTTTTGATGGGTGTAATTCCTTTAAAGCGCATGGACAGCAGAAGCCAATTGGTATTTTCTTTTTCTTTTTTGGTTTATTTATGGGATAACAACAATAATTATTTGATATATATATTTCAAATTTTCCTTCGTCTTTGTGGTGAACTTATGGTGTTACTTCATTTGTATTCTGTTCCCTTTTCAATATAGGAATGTCTCAAGCGATGTATGGATCTTGTTAAGAAGGGAGCATCTGTTTTTTTCTTCCCAGAGGGTACTCGGAGTAAAGATGGAAACTTAGGTGCCTTCAAGGTAAGATCAATGTCAAAATTTTCATTTCAACATGCGCATGTGACATTGAATCCAACCAAAATTAACAAAAATTGAAGTCATTGAAGAAACCTGATATAATTTTGAGTTCTACAAGGTTATATCCAGGAAGGAATCACCTAACCCCAAAAAACTTTCTTTTTTTTTTGTCATCCTCTGGGTATGTTTATAGAAATGTGGATGGACTTTTCCTATGTCCTTCTGCTTACGCCTTGTTTGTTTCAGTGGAAAACATTTTTCAGCATTTCCTGGAGTTTGGTACAACAAAAAATGGAAATCAATGCAAAATAAGCTTATTTGGGCGGAAGATGTTTTTTGAACTAAAGACTTACCAATACAACCACACCACCACCTCCACCTCCGCCATGACCCGTCAGCCATAGCCACCCCCACCACCACCACCACTAATACAGCTATTAGTATATTAGTTTTCGAGGTTGTGACCAAATGTAAGAAAACATTTTCTAAATATTTTCTGGAAAAAGTTATTTGTAGAAATCATTTTCATTGGGTTATGTTTTCCACCGAAACAAACGGAGCATTAGTCTTTGTCATTTTCTTGTTTGATTCCATTTTCTTTGTTATTGATGACATGGGTTTGGTGGGTGTAACTAGGCAATGTGTAGAGAACCACCACATTGTCTATGCTAAATGTGTCATTGCATCTTGCTGTTGATTTGTAGAAAGGTGCATTCAGTATTGCGGCAAAAACCGGAGTGCCCGTGGTTCCAATCACTATAAATGGAACTGGTAAAATCATGCCTACTGGAAGTGAGAGTATACTGAATCCGGGATCTGTTAGAGTTGTTATCCACAAGCCTATAGAAGGAAATGATCCAGAAGTACTTTGCCATGAAGCCAGAAACATTATTGCAGGTGGGCTTCTTCATCAAGGCTAAAGTATATGCTGCGTATATTTTGTTCTTCAAATACCAAAGCGTAGGCTTGGACAAAGGGAATGTAAGGTATAAATTTGCTGGTCCGTAGTTCTACCCTGCTTAGCAATTACTGTTTTTTTTTTATTTCAGTCATTATTCAATCCACCACTAATGTCACGCGTTTCTGTTGTACCCTTTTTTGGGCTTTATTTTACTGCTTTCTTGCAGATTAACCTATGCTTGATTTGTGGATAAGTGAATGGGCTGGATAGGACTATGCTCGCGGAAGCGAAAACAATAACCACTAATAGTCCAAAGAGCTGTGCATTTATATGGACATACATTACATGCCAAAATGTGTTAATTTACCCACTTACTGTACATCACATACAATAAAAGATCATATACAACACATAGGCAAAAGCCACAGGTACAACAAGACAAAGCTCACAAAACGGCCTTCCAGGCCTAACCCCGGCTCGGAGCACACAAAACACTTGTTAGGCTTCAAAACAGCAGCTCGGCTCGAGAACCCGCCTAGGCTTGACTTCCAGAATGCTCACCTATAATACATAATTACAAACAATGAGCTAGAGCTCAACAAGTAACATAACAGTAAAGAGGTTAGTGAACGAAGTCCGACATTTTCATAAATCCACAATAGATCAATCATAAACATATATCAGTCATCAGTCATCATAAGAACATACGTAATGGCATACTCCACAGAACCTTTCATAACAGTCTATCAATCAACAGTCTACGAGATCTCGTAACTAGTCATGGGCTTGTCCTTCCATGCCGTTCCCCATGACTCATGACGCATGGGCCTGCATGTTCCCGCCCCCATGACCCAACTATCTATGGATGCCATACTAGATTCGCAAATCAGGACACTCATTCACGAAAAACATTCTCATTTCAAAGCATAGCATAACGTAATACATTTAAAACATAGTTCATAATAACATATCTTTACAGAAATGTTACTCACAGAGGGTTTCCGAAACCGAATGCACGGTCTTCAAATCTTGACCTGTAAATATCAACATATCACACATTTCTCAATACACATTATCATTAAATCCTGTAATTCATGCACTTCATTCTTTCCTTTACTTCATTTCATGTTCATTCTAATCTTTCTTTACTTTGATTCATACTCATTTCATGTTCATAAGATGATAAATGATGCAATTAACATGTTAAAATCAAGTCTGCAACTTCCCCAAAGTTTTCTTGAAAAAGGCCTTCCCGCTCGAGCGCCACTTTAGCCGCTCGAGCGTACTGTAAAAAGTCCCAAAACTGCTGGGAGGCTGTTTTCACCGCTCGAGCGGGCTTCCCTCCGCTCGAGCGTACAGAGCAAAAATCCGAATTTCTGGTTCTTCTTCCAAGCTTCATTCTCCTCTTTACAAAATCACTTGCCACATTTATGAAATCCAAGACCCAAAATACTTAAAACCCATCTTAAATCAACATCAAAACTTCAAATCAAAACCCATATGGAACAATAGAAGATCAAATCCTGGAGTAAAATAGAAAATCATAAACTTGAGCATAAAAGCTTCATTTCGAAACATCCATGGAGGTTTCCTTCAAAAATGCCAATTAACCATAAATCATACCATTTTAAAGCCATGATCTTGTGTTCAACATGCTAAATACCACGAATCAACAATCAATTTCATGGGAATCTTACCTTAACCGCTTAGTTTGGAGAAGATTTGAGCTTAACCCCCTTTTCTCTTCTTCTTTCCCTTTCCTTTCTCTCTTCCCCAAGCTCTCTCTCTTTCTCTCCCCAAATATTCTCTTTTTCTTTAGTTTGAGTCAAATGAGTCAAAACATCCATCCTTATCTATTATATAACAAAATAAACCATTATGCTCAAAACACTTAAGCCAAACATGACTTACGAATCAAACGAAATTCAGTCCTTAATTTATTTCCTCAAATGGTTCTAAAAATTCCCGGCATCACATAGGCGTGTTCAATTTCATTTCCCGAACCCATTACGGTCATCAATTTCAGTCCCAAAGTTCTCATCTCAACAGATATTCTTCTAATTCAAACAGATATTCTTCAATTAATTCGCATGAACACATAATTAATTACTGATAAATATGACACATGTTTTGGGGTCATTACACATAAGCACCAACAATGCCGAGCCTGTGGGAAAACTATTTCTATGGCATTTTGCATAGCTTTACACTGGTCAGTTATTATTACTTTTGGGAGAGCATCTGACATGCAACTTAATCATTCTTTGAATAGCCAAACAAATGTCTCAGTGTTCTCATTAGATAACAACCCACATCCAAACAAGATTGACTGTCCACGGTGATTAACTCCTACAAACGGAGCAAATGGCATATCATATTTGTTTATCAAATAGGTTGTGTCAAATGAGACAACATCCCCAAATTCTTTATAAGCCACCCTACTCCTTGCATCTGTCCAAAACAAGTTTCGTATGCGACCATCTTCATCAAGGTCAATTGCCGAATAAAAGTTCGAATTTTGTTGTTGCATTTTATGGAAATAAAGTGTAACTGATTCGGCGTTTCCTAACCCAAGTCTCAATCTTCTAGCATTCTCAATATAATTCCTTGCATCTTATTCATCAAACGTTAATGCCTCATATCCCCCTGCTTCAATAACTATGGAATTAAAATTCCTCGCCACCCCAATCCCTGCTAC